AATATCTGAGAGGGGTCAAGTTTGGTTTGCGAAGTATATGCTTGCAAACGTGAAGAGAGAGCTAAAGGAATACAATGAAGCAATTACGAGATATGAAACAGTTCTGAAAATAAAGCCTGACGAATTTGGTGTCTCGATCGCACTTCTGCAAACTCTTACTGAAAATGCGTGGAAGTGTGTCACGTTGGGGTTGTTCGGTGAAGCGGCTGACTGTGCGAGGAAGGCTATCGGAACAGGCATATCAATTGCAAAGAAACATCCTGACGTGTTCAACTTATGGAAGTTAATTGCCGATGCGTTCTCCACCTTCTCCTGGATTCGGGGAAAGGCATCCTGCATGCCTATCACAGAGTACAAAAAGTTTATTGAAAGTCAAACTGATGTGGCATCTTTTGAGTTGCTCGCAGATGAGGATGGTGTGAAGACAGACTTTGTTTCACTACTTACAAAGTCGAGTTCCGGAGATGGTTTTTCACCAAACATATGTATCCACGCTGCGATTCTTGCTCACAAACGTGCCGTGTCCATATCCGCTTGTGACAAACACGCACAGGCAATAGCATGGTATAATCTCGGATGGGCAGAATATCGTGCATACGTATGCTTGGAAGATGATGTTAAGTCCAAAAGAAACAAACCTTTCCTCAAAACAGCCATGCGGTGTTTCAAACGAGCAATCGAACTTGAGGCTGGCAATTCTGAGTTTTGGAATGCGCTTGGTGTAGTGACAACGTTCCTTAGCCCGAAAGTCGCCCAACATTCGTTTGTCAGAAGTCTCCATTTAAATGATAGAAGTCCACAAGTGTGGACGAATTTAGGTGCGTTGTACCTTCTTCATAATGACCATGAGCTTGCGAACGAGGCGTTTACGAGGGCTCAGTCTACGGATCCGGACTTTGCCCATCCGTGGCTCGGACAGGGCTTGCTTGCACTACTATTTGGAGACATAACGGAGGCCAGAGAACTCTTTACGCACGCCTTTGAACTAGGAAATTCAGCATTGACGTTCCCAAAAAGGCAGTATGCAGTATCAGTCTTTGATTACCTAAACTCCGATTCCACGATAAATGTAGAACTTCAACAACTCATTCAACCCCTTCTTGCACTCCACCAACTCCGTACCCAATCACCCTCCAACCTCCCATTTCAACATCTTTCAGCCCTGTTGGCTGAGAGAATGGGAAGCTATACCGCTGCTAATTCGAGCCTTGAAAATGTGTGCACCGCTTTGGAAACAGAGTATGAATCATCAGAGTCAACGTCGTCATTATCACGTTTTGTTCAGGCAAAAGCAGATGCAGCTCGGGTGCAGCTAGCTCTGATGGACTACAAAGCTGCAGCTGAAAGTGCTGAGACTGCTCTAAGCTTATCATCTGAGGGTGACTTAGAAGAGTTTTACCCTGAACTTAATCAAAAGCTACAACTCTCATCACATCTGACAGCCGGACTGGCTTACTTCTATCTCGAAGACATGGACAGGGCAATTGACATGTTCCGCGATGCTTTGCAGGAAGCAAAGAGCTCACCTGATGTAGTATGTTTACTGGCACAAGTCTTGTGGGCTAAGGGTGGGGAAGAGGAGAGAGACGCAGCTCGGGTGCAACTTTTGGATTGTATCGAAAAGCACCCTACACATGTTGGCGCGGTTACTCTTTTGGGTGTCATAGCTTTATTGGATGCTGATGAGGATGCAATCAAAGCAGTCCAATCTGACTTGCAGGAGATGCGAATAAGTGATGTTGGCATCCACGATCGGGTGAAAGTCACTAAACTCCTCGCAGGAATTGTCAGTCTTGGACTTGCCAACGAGTCTGATAGAACAAAAGAGATAAGACAGTGTCAAGAAGCTAAAACATCTATAATGCTTGCGCCATACCAGCCGCAGGGATGGGCTGCACTGTCCGCAGCGTCTTCTGAGCCATACCCAGCTGAAATGGTATTACAAACTGCAATCCAAAATATACCCCCCAAGGGAACACTTGATGCATCGGAGCTTTGTAAATACTACGCCCATTCTGGTCATAGAGATGCTACAGCCAGAGCCATAATGATAGCTCCTTGGGTATCAGATGGCTGGAAAGAACTTTTCCACTGTATATCAGAGTCATAATTGGCCAAAATTGATCTTAGCTGATGGTCAGTGATTTGCAAATATTTGAAGAAGGGAAATAAGTGAAACTTGCCAGTAAGAAAATTTTACACAACATATACCAATGCTGAATAATGTTTGAATATCTCCATTATACTTAAAAGTTCACGAAGCTACCATAGCAGGGAACAGCTTGAAGCCTAGTTAATTCTTGCTCTGCTGTTAAAATCTCTTCCTGAGTGATATAGATATGTTTTTATTCTCATTTTCCTTTTGCTTTTCATTGCAGTCTGTAAAGTTTTGTTTTCTATAATAGAATAGTAACATTGTATATGACTAGCTGATACTCTCAAATAAATTTATTTAAAACTTGTTTCATTGAACTAAAAAAGTATATATAATGATTAATATGACTATTTGATATTATTTATTATTATTATTATTGTTGTTGTTATTATTTAGTTATAGAAATATATTTTCAGAACTATATTATCTATCTGATCTAAATAATTATAATTTACTATCTAAAATAATATTATTAATTTTAAATATAATCTATATTTATAACTTATAATATATAATTTTCAACTTAGAAATTATTACTAAAGTTTCTTTATTGAGATGGTTGATAGACAAATTGAAGTTGAATTTGAAGTTGTTTTAATAAATGATGAATTTTATTAGCTCAATAAGGTGAATTACATCAGTTAAGTTAATAACTAATGTAATCCACCTCTGAGTGAACTATACCTCTAAGTGAATCATCAAAATTATCATATTTCAACTAGTTAAAATTTAATCTAAAATATTTATACCAAAAATACCTTATTAAATCAAATTAATTTACACTAGAATTGGAGCATCTTGTTCTTTTATGATCAGGTAAATTGCAATTGCTGCATTGTCATAAAACTTCTAAGTATAATTGAGATTCTACAGAGATTTTATCAATGAAGATATAGAAGATTGAATGACTGACTGTTCAATAAATACAGTAGCTGGAATAGCAAGATGAGTAGCTTTCTGTCTGATTAAACCTTCTTCTTATTGAATTCTTCAGATATATCTCTTGCATTATTACTTTTCTTTTTCATTTATATTAAATATATTCTAATATTACTTCTTCATAATAGTAGTGTTGATCATCTCATATTCACTTCTTGATAATTTGATCAAGATCTTTCACTAAATCTTGAAACTACTATTTCTTCATAAAGCTTTTAATCTTTTTGATCTGTCATTGCAATTCCAATTATTAGATATTTGAAGTACTGAGAATAAGACTAAATTGCTTACTCTACTAACTGAGAGAATAAAAGTTCAGAGTTGAATATTTAGCTGCTGAATGATTTGATCTGATTCAAATGATAATATATCAATAGCTCTAAAGTCATTTTAAATACTTTGAATTTTAAAAGAGCTTTAAAAGCTTTTATATGTGCTGCAGAATAAGTATCTAAAAAGTCTATTTTCTTAATGATATTGAATTCAAACTGCATTCACTGTTTAACAAGACTGCTATACACATGTTTCAAACTGTAAAAACATTTACATCTAGTGACTACAAGAAATGTGAAAAATATACTAGTATACAGAAAGAAATAATATTATTCTTTTTGCAAATATAGTCAAATTCTGAAGTAAAATAACTATCATGCTCATTTAAAATAAAAAGAAGATAAATGTCAATTCTGCATGAATTAGCAGCAGGAATAAATAGTCTAGTAAATCATTTAACTTCTATCTCATCTGTAATTCAGTCATTAAAACTAATATCAAGTTTTCAATCATCTGAAAAGTCATCAAATCAGCCTTTTTGTAACTTCTGACTTTTAAAAATCATGTATAAAAACAAGGCTCAGTCTAACATGTTGACTGTCTCAATCACAGTCACCTATTTATAATTTCCAGACTGTAGAAGCTTTGCCTGGTCATAGTACTTACTCTTAGAGGACTGTTGTCTACTTTGTTGCATTCTATGACTCTAAGCAAGCTAGCTAGCTACTAATAAATACATAGGTGCACGTGACCTCGGGTAGCCGGGGAATCCTCCAACACTTACTACTAGTAATAATCTTAGTAATGACACAGAGCCTCATTGCAAACTTAGTCTCATCAAAGTTGTATATATCTTCAAGCAAAATTTCATACTCAGCATTGTATTTTTCAAGGTCTTAAACCAAGTCTGAATAACTCTTATATCTTCACATTTAGCTCACTCATGATTATAGTGTCTGGAATAGTGGCAATGAAGCTCTGTACAGTGTTTAATCAGCTTGTAGATCCAGTTCTTGTCAACCTGAGGAATAGAGATTGAGGTGGAGATTGAATGCTGGAGTTTAAGAAGATAATTGACCATATTCTCAACAAATGTCAGTCAGGGAGGTGTTCCTTGTTTTGCCAGATCTAGAATCCACTGAACTAGCTGATTCTCTTCAGACTCAGTTAATTTGATTGAATTTGTGTGTAGATTCATGTGTGCAGGTCAGTTATTAAATCTATGGTGTAGAGTAGCATATGAGATTTCATGAAGACATGCAGCTTCATGAATTGAGGTAATTTCATTATTTTTTAAAGCTTTTATTGCAAGTTCAATTCTTCCCTCTATTTTTATAGAGTTTCTGACATTTTTATTGTGAATTGGTGGCATTCTCACGCGTTGAAGTGGGTGGGTTAGAAAGTTGAAGCTTTTTTGGATTAGATGGTTCACTCAGGGGTGTGGTTCGCTCGGGGGTGGATTACGTTAACCAACGAACTAACTATTGTTAACTAACTAGTTAACTAGCTGGTTGGATTGTCATCTTCGACTTCCAGGACAACAGTGACACTTCGAATCAAACACCGGGGATTCCCTTTCTGATTAAACCACCCAACAGCACACTCAAACGCTCAAATTTATCTCTAGCGTAAGATGTCAACTATATCATCTCCGCGACCCTCCATAACATCTGCTCGAACTCCAACACCCCCTGGATCACGGCGGCCATCAATTGAAATCAGCAATCTTACCGCCAGCAACGCCTCAACCCCAACTCCCCGTGCGGCCTCTCCGTCTCTCACGCACCGGAAAAACCGAGCTGCGTTACGGGATTATTATAATCTCCGACCTGTTCTCCCAGATTCATCTCAACCAAATCATTCACGACCCCGAAGCATCGCTTCCACGAGTGGAAGTCATTACGATGCATCAACTCATCCAATCTCTCCCTCAACACAGGTCGAACTTGACAGCCCTAACTTTGATCCTTCTGCCTATATATCCCGACTTCTCTCCACATCCTCTCTCTCGACTATTCTCAAGGCAGAAAACTCACTGATTAGCGACATTCGAACGCTGGACGGGGAACGAAAAGCTCTTGTATACGACAATTACTCGAAACTAATAAAGGCCGTGGAAACTATTGGGAAAATGCGGGCTAGTATCGAGGAGCGAGGTCAGCCTATGGTTATGACGAAAACACTAGCACCTGCTGTGGGATTTGTGGTAGAGACTGCTGCGACGCTAATTCGTCAGAAGGAGGAATCTGTATGGGAACGGGACGATCAGAAGGAAGCGAGTAAAGGTGGGCCTTATCTAGAAAAGGAAACGGTAAAATGGGTTTTAAACTGCCCGAAAAGACTTAGGTGGCTTTTAGATGATGGGAAGGTAGAAGAGGCAGGGAGCGATTGGAAGGAGGTGGAATGGCTATTGACGAAATGGCAGGGGGTGAAGGGAGTTGATGAATTGAGAAAGGCATGTGAGGAAATCATGATGAAAGAGGAATAGGCTTTTCCTATCAACACACAGATTTCAGAAATAGCCGCAGTCACACGAATCACCAACCGTGTCTCCATTTCCGCACCTCGCGAGTTGACTATCGTCATACGCTGCCAACTCCCGCTGTAGTGACAATAGGAGCTGAGGTGCTTTATGGCTTATATCCTTGTAGCGGCGTCGTCGACTCGATGCCAGTACTATTGCATGAGCGGTGTTGGTAATATGACTTCAGCTCAGGCTGCCAACGCCCGCCACGGCGTTGATGTCGAAGCAATTGTCTTCTCCATCTTGAAGTTTTCGCAACTACACAAACGTACATTGCGCATCCCAAAACTTTGGGCATGTCTCATGAAGCATTTCCATTTGCATGTCATCAGTCAATCCGGCTCATGGATAAGCCGGCATTTCGCCAGCGCCCTTGAGTAATCCAGAATTTTTGTTATTGGTATTGTCGATGCCATTCCAAACTTCGATTCAGGAATACGCATTCTAGAAGAGCTATTAAATACAACAATTCCATACACCATCCATTTGCCCCAGTTCCCAGCTCACCCTGCATCGCCTCCGCAATGATGCCCCAAACCCTGTTATATTGATTCACGGATGGGAACAGATGGGAACAACATCCATTTGGCCGTCAAGATATTGTTCTCATGAGCAATCTGTAAGATCTCTGCATCAAGCTTGCGACGCTCCATGGCGATTTTCCGCGCCAATATCGAATGCGGTTGGTGTTCAAATTCAGCATCTAACTCCTATTTGTTATTCTCGAGGGTGCTGAGAAGATTTTCACTACGACTTGTCAGATTGGCTGTGATTTCATTGGAATAAGGTGATGGATTAGGGGTGATGTCATTCATGATCCCTACTCAAGGACCCACGGAGGATGCCTGTGTGGTGTTGGGTGGTAGGCGCGAGAGGAATTATGGAATGGTTTCTGTTGGACTGTGGTGCGTGCTCCGGAATGTTATCTGGTTGCTCTCGTTGATGGTGCTAGTGCCGGTATTGTTAGCACTGCCTTTGCCTTCTCGCATGGGATCAAGGTCCGTTGTGTCCACATCAATGCCTGCGATCCTGTTGCGGGCTTTTTGCCTGGCGGTAATGGTTGATAGGGATCTCGGATGAGTCATTCTTCCAGTAATGGACCATGTTGAAGCTAGATGCTTGCTGTTCAAGCTTGGCTACTTTGGTTTCGTCACCGATTAAAATCCAATGTTAGATATTTCATAGTCTCAATGAAGTAACGAACGAGTTAGCAGTTAAAATGGAGGATTATCCAGCATAAAAGCTTGACTCGTCAGACAAGAAACCATCTGTTGAAGTTTTGGGAAATGTTTCTCCTGCCTGATCTTGTGGAATTCACATTCAAGGACATTAATGATGGCAGCCTTTTATGCATGTATGTCACTGACTGTCATACCCCGCCAGCCAACAACACCTTAACAAATCCTAATAGCTTTTTGTTGCAGTAAGACAGACATCTTAGGCTGTGTATATGGATGGAAACTGACCTCGGTCGTATCTACCACCCCCGGAATTCGGGCCGTGCCCAGAATAGAGCGGGCTTCCACCACTAAGCGTGACCCCTGAGGAGACGGTTTGGGGCTACACAATCTTCCAAGCCATCGGGGCTGTATGGGCAGTTCCATTTTTTTTTTGGCGTTGCCTTTAGTGACGGTGGCTTCTCGCATACTGAATTAAGGGATTGATAAATACATTTGCTACCTGGCTAAATACACTCCACAAAAATACACTACTCTAAACTAGACATAGTGTATACGCAGCTGCACACTCAAAATAACTATTCAAAACACTTGAAACTTTTACAAGATCTTGAATAAATGAAGAAGAATAACTAGCATTTTAATGAAGTTAATATATATTTCATTTTAATTCTATATATATTAATTATAAAAAATTAAAATATTTTTAATATTTTAATTTTTATATTTTACTTTTTTAAAAATATAAAAAAAAAATATTATATATTATTTAAAAATTACAAATATTATTAAAAATTAAAAATTAAATTAAATTATTTATTATATAATTTTATATATATTTTATTAATATTTAATTTAAAAGTTAACTTTTATATATATATTATTAATTAATAAAATTTTTTATTTATTTTTTATAATATTATTTTAATATATAACTAAGCTCTAATAATTAATTTTATAATCAATCTTTAATCAGACTCTTGCATATGAAAGTTCATCATCTTAATGTAAATTGTCATATTAATATAAAATATTTTTAAATATTCTATTTTATTTTCAAAATTCAATAATCAGTTAATATAATAATATTTTTATATATTTTAATAGAGAATAAGACTATAAAAACTCTATAATTTATAGTCAATATTGAAAATTTTAATATTAATATATTAATAAGAGAATTTAACATTTCTTACTTATATTTAATTAATTAATTTTATGATTATCTCTTTTATATCAAAAGAACTTTTACTAATTAATTGCTATTTTCTAATCAAAAAAAAAAAAAATCACTCTATCAGTATATAAAAACACTAGATAAAATTCATCTATCTATCAAAACTTCAATCTGAATGCAGATGAAACAGATGTTTGATTATCAGCTAAATAAACTATTTAGATAAAATACTAAGATGATTTCTAAAAAATAAGTTTGAGAAAGACTCTGTTTATATAAGTCTTTTTTTTAGTATTATTTTTCATAATTACATATTATTCATATACAGAGTAATTATAGAGTTAATTATTATATCAATATATAAACAGTTCTGATTATTGATTGTTTTAACCTATAATTTTATATTATTAAAAACGTTTAATAGAGCTTATCTATTCTACATCATTATATTATTCTTCTCTTAAAGTCTAGAAATACTTCTATATTAATAGATTATTATTCATCTCATCTATGTCACAGCTTTAATCTAAATATAGATGAATAGATATTTAATTATCAATTAAAAAAGCTATTTGAATGAATACTAAGATAATTTCTAAAAAATGAGTTTAGAGAAGATTTTGTTTATATAATTCTTTTCTTAGCAAAGTTGCTATGTAATTACCACTTTTATATATTATTTATATATGGGATAATTGTGAAGTTGGTTGCTATGTCAATGTCTAAACAGTTGCAATTATCATTCATTTTAATCTTATACTATTAAGAAGGCTATGAAGTTTGTTCTACATTATCACATTATCCTTTCTTGAAGTCTAGACATGTTCTCATATCAATAAATTATCATCTACTTCATTTGATAAATAGTTATAATTTTCTTAAACCTTTAGTTATTTACTCAATCACTTTAAAAGCTCTGATTTTATTAGATTTGCAATATGAGGTTGTTGAATCAAATGTGATAATTCTTTTAAATTTTGTGCTGAATACCATGTTGAATCTTTATTAAATTTTAATCATTTTATCTGATATTGAAACTTCTTATAGGAGACATGACTTGCTAAAACATTTTCAACTTCTCACTTATTTTCTTCTTGTATGTTAACTGATTCTGATATCTTATTTAATTATTCTGATAGAGAGTTATTCACAGTCTTTTATAATTTATCAGAAGAGAATATTGAGTAGATTTTTATACTATTTGATAGTCTTAGTCTGTAGCTGTTGCTCACTCTTTCAATAATTTCAAAGAAGTTTTTATTTTGCTCTGTAAGCTTTCTGCTGAGATGTTGAATTCTATAGTTCTTAAGTGACAAGAAGATCTTATCTTTTATATCAAAGTTTGACTTCTGATAATGCTTGTTAATATGTAATTTCATGATTTCTTGTATCTTTTCCACATTGTCTACTGCTAGCTTTCAGATTTTCTCTATTTGAATAATACAATGCCTGGCATTTTCTTATTTAAGCTTCTCTTCTCTAGGTAGTGTTTTTGGCAATAACTTTCAATCAAAGAACATTCAAGATTCATATCTATAAACAGTTAGAAAGAGTGTCATCTCAGTTAATTTATTCATTAAAGCTTCAGTTAAATAATTCATTATTGACATACTCATTTCATTTATTCTGATAGTAATTTATATATGAACAGAGCTTGATCATCAGATATTGATTGACAATCTCAGTCTGATCATCTATTTGCATATAATGAGCTGATGAAAGCTTCAGCTTAACTCTCAATTATCAGATAAACTTATTTCAGAAATCTAAGATAAATTGTGACTTACAGTCTAACACAATTGAATTTGATACTTCATAATATTCATAGTAGTGCTTTAAGAACAGTCTCACCAGCTCTTTAACATCTGCCTTTTTTATAATAAAAATAGATATAAACTTTTTACTTAGTTGATAGAGAATCATCAATATCATATCATAATTTCTTTTTATCATAGAGTTATTTATAAAGTTTATTGAGATGTGTTATCAGACTTTGCTAAAAATTGATAGCAGCTTTAGTAGTCTTGAAGTTTTATTATAAGAGATCTTCATTCATCAGCACATCAAACAATTATTTATATACTGATTGATGTTTTTGATTCAGTCATTTCAATAGTATCTTGTCTTTACTAGCAAGTGTAGCTTTTTCTTTTTAGAATGCATTATTGATGACTACTCATGAATCTTCTATAGAAGATATATTCAAAGAGTAGAATCTTTCTCAATTGATGTCACTAAGCACTTTTCAAAATACAAAAGTTCATCTATCAGCTCTTAGTGCTGTTCTCTCTATTATACTTTTTCATATCATGATTTTAGTGACTTTGTCTTTCTGTTGATTATCTTGACTTCATCAATAATATATATACTGATATCTATAGTTTTAATTTCAATGAATTTTTCAATAACCTATGAGTTTAATCTCTTTAATTTAAGAAATAGTTGCATTTGAGTACTCTTATTATTTTTCTGAATCTCTGATCAACTTAATATATCTACTAGTATATTTTGATATTTAGATTAATACTAAATTAAAAAGTAGAATTAATAGAGAAACTCAGCTTAGTATGCTTGTCAGATATTGAAATTTTTAATTATTATAAATATTCAAAACTCAATAATCAGTTAAAATTTTAAATTTCTCTATTCTCTGAAGGTCTTTTAGCTCAGTATATTATTCTATCAATGCTCTCACAATTATTAGTATCTTCTTATCATAGATTTTATAGTTTCTTTTTGCTTTATTCATAGAAGCTAAGTAGAATATAATTGAATATCACTATTTATTTCTATATAACTGACATAAAATATCCGTTATAGTATTATCTGAAGCATTTATTTTCACATGAGTGTCTCAATTTAAGTTATAGTAACAGAGCACTAAGATATCAAATAAAAATCTTTTTATTTAATTAAAGATATACTGACAGATTTTATTTTATTTAAATGATTAATTTTTCTGAGTGAGCTTAAATATTGACTTTACAATTCAACTGTATTTTTTGACAAAATACTGATAAAAGTTGCAAAATTTTAAAAATAATTGAACTTTCTTGAATATACTAAATATTGCTTATTATCATATTACTGTAAATTTTTTAGAGTTAATTTTAATCTCTTAATTAGTGATAATAAATTTCAAGTACTTTATCTATTGAATATAAAACTTATATTTTAAAATACTTATTTGTAGTTCAACCTCTTGCAATCTAGTCAATATTTTCTTAATATGCTTATTATATTCTTTTAAAAATTTAATATAAATAAGTAAATTATTCACAAAAGTAATTATGAACTAATTCAAGTAGTCAAAAAAGATAGTATTAATAAAGTACTGAATAATTGTCAGATTAATACTTAGATTGAAGAGTTTAACTCTATATTTATATATTTTATAATATATTTTAAAGATAATTAGATCTTTAGTCTCAGAGTGCATGTATATTTAATGAAAATTTTGATATATATTTAATTTGATAAAGAATTTTACTTTATTTAGTTAATTCAGAAGCTTATTAACTAGTAAAATCAAATATTAATTCTTTTTTGAGAATATATTAAATCAGTAATAATTTATATAGAATTTCAGCTTACCAGCTATATTAAATATAAGAATTGAAAATATAAAGAAGAAAGTAACTAATAAAATAAAACTTTTCTTTAAATTAGTTTTAAGATATTGCTTGACTGTCTCAAGTTTTTTCAAACTCATTCAATATAATAATATATG